ATAGATACGTACGGGCCAACGCGAGCTCTCTCGCGGTAATGGGAGTCATTCCGAATTTCCCATTCGCTGACAAGAATTTCAACCTGATTTTTTCAACTTGTCACGTCGCCCTTCTATTTACACCACCTGTGAAAACATTCCTTCTAATGTGGGGGGTACCGGTGTTTGATGAGGATCCAGATTTCATCGTGATTATGGACCATAATCCAGACCTACTGGTTCCATGGTTAAACTATTATTCATCCATTAGTTGGTGGTACAGGCTGACTTCGAATTTTCTATATAGTAACATGAGCTCGAAGGCTTTGTCAATTTTTTGCAATACTTGCGTTGCCCTTCAGAAAATAAAGGCTTGGAAGGACACAACGATTTTCGCCAAGAAATTAATTCCTTTCAAGGGCAGGACTTTGTCGGAGTTCTCAAGATATTACAAGCCACTCAATAGAAATAAGAATCAACACCCTATACATTTTACTAATACTTTACGGAAACTTTGGAACATTCCTTGCAGTTTGAGACACTGCGGGGTTAACACACCTCACACAACCTGTCCAGTGTCGGAACTAATGATTAGATTAAACTTTACAGTTACGCGGTCACTTCAGGGTATTATGGCTTACGTCATGTCAAATGTTATTTTCAACGGAGAAAAATTACAAAGTGAATTTTTGCTGCCTGGATTAGTTCTAAGATCGAATTGGATAAAACACAGCGTAGATTTTAACAAGGTGACGAATAGGATTTACGCTCAACCAGTTGAGTTGAACGAAAAAGCTTTGCTAAACATTTTCGATGTTTTGTCGGTTTTCTTACTAATGTGCCTTGGAGGTTTGTCGAGCCTAATAATTTATCGAGCAAAGGAATTTGTATTTGTTCCATTGATGTGGACTATTAGCATTTTAATTCAGCAGGGCACGCAAATTTTGGTAAAGACGGGGGAAGCTAAGATTACGAAATTCCGTGTGTTTATGATGTATTGTATAATCATAATTTGGGTTTTCAACGCGTTTCTTGTTGGAAATGTATTTAGTGGGGAATTCTTCTCCCTCTTCACATCAAACAGGGTACCAGAAGTTCCGAAAAACTTGGAAGAGCTACTTCAAGCAGGGGAAATTCCGATAATTTCTTTTGGGACAACTGGGAATATGGACCAACCTAATGATTGGGTCAGTACTTTGAAAACTATTATAATTCCGCAAATAATTGAGAGTGCGGATTCGTCTCCTGAATTTCGTAAAATGCTAATTGCACTGAACGAGAAAATCTTGTGGGATCGGGGCACGAATAAGTTTGTGTATGCACATTGGTTATCGTCCAATGGAAATCTGATTGACACATTAAGAGACACAAATAAGACACAAATGAAGCACAAAATTTTTGCTGTTATTGATGCTGAACTGGCACAGATGGAGCTGGAAAATTCCTTGGGTGTTTTTAAAAAATATTTTATAGTGTTGAATAACGATGCACAATTAGATACAACGGTTTCACCTTGGATAACTCCTAGAACGCCGTTTGGGGTAATATTTTAAGAATATATGGGATACATGACGGAAGCTGGGATTGTAGAAAATTGGGAAAAGAACTATCAAATATTTATGTTTCTTGATATGTTAAAGAGGGCTCATAATTTCTTGGCGAAGGAAGAAATTACTACAAAAAATTACACGAACTATTTTCAAAAAGCTATTACAAAGGGTAAGAAGATGAATTCGGTATCACTTGTTAGGGAAGGCGAACCCATTGGCTTGGACAAAATTAAAATGCTTTTCCTTCTTTGTTTTATGTGTATTGGAATTTCTGGATTATGTTATATACTAGAAAATAACGGAATTACAAAAGCATGTTGTAGTTAATAATAATAATTCAATTATTGCATTAATTTTATTTATTGGAAATGAGTTACTTATTTTAAATGTTAATGAATATGCCAAATTATATAATATCGATTTATGAAAATGGTTAGTCCTAATTTAAAAATGACAATGTTCAGGTCCACTTCAATAGAATTCATTAAGCAGCTTGACTGATTTAAAAACAGAAGCATAAACAAAAATAGATTATTCGATTCTTGGATTTGGAAACTATTGATGTAGCTGCAAATTATCAACCTTCAAATAAGGACATACATACATATGTAACCATAAAATTTTATTAATAATGTTTTCAGTAATTTTGTAATTTCAAAATTGGACGGACTTAAATGTGGATGTGGTTGCTGAACAAGATTTTGGTTCAAAGATCACAACAGGGTTTTATGCCTGTGGGATTTGCTTGATAATTTGTATATTGGTATTGATTTTAGAAGCTGTTTACTGTAAGTATCTGCGGAAGTTTAATTACTGGATTTATAGGATATTAATATATTTATTTTTTAAGTATATGTAATTTCAAGATACTTGGATGATTCAAGTTGCACCTTTCTATGGTAGGGAAGTAGTAATAAAACTATGTCTGGCATGATTAATATATACATTCATACAAATAAAAATGTGTAACTTGTAGCTTTTTGCTTCGATTTGGGTTACTTTTAGTTTGCTATACCACACTTCGGAAAGTGTTGGAGAGCATATATGCATGCACTCTGCCATGGTAATGATTTCAGTGAGTAGGTACAGCGGTGTAAAATTCATTACCAAAAGTGTACCGAGTTATAATAATTTGAGTACTAAGTGCGGAAGAGTCGTATATGTACTAGAAACAAGAATTATTGGTTTTGATTCATTACCACATTTTGGAGGGTGTAAACATATTTATATACATGACCCGTTTGTACGCATGTATGCAAATGACTGTAAAATTTATGTGAGGAGTGTACTACATGTAATTATTTGTAGCGGAAATGCTAATTGGTTAGAAAACTGTGAGACAGGGTATCCTAGGTTTTATATTATTCTAAAATAACACTTCCTGAAACTTTTTAAAATGTTCCAGGATATTTTGACTTTGATGTTCAGTAAATCAATTTTTATGTGGAATAAATATTACGGCGTTAAACCTCTAATGATTTGCTGAATTAAATATGCAGCGTTATTTCATGGTAATCCTTTAAATTATTTTTATGCACTTTGCCGGATTTTTGGTGGGTGTTATTAAACGCATAAAACATTTTTATGCACTAATTTTGTACAGGTGTTTTTAACAGCAAAAACACTGCCACATATATATTGGTGCTGCCACAAGCTAATTCTCACCCATGTAAATAAGATGTGTTAGAATACATATATATCATCCTACTAATTCCGCAATAACATATGTGCACAAGAACAACATGTACAAATCCTGCACATATATCTTTTTGGGATTTAGCATCAAGTGCACATATGTTATTTCAGAATTAGTACGACGATATGTTAAATACAACTCGTTCGACTCCTTCATTCCCTTATATGCGGATGTATAAGAGAGAAAGTAAGAGACGTACATACCTGTCCACTCACTTGGTAGCTACGTATACATGACCAGTATTAAATTCAACCACATTTCTCAGAATGGCTATACATACTCTCGTTTTTTTTCTGGACACAACATAGTAAATAGTAAGGGTCCCTTACTAAGGGGTTGGTAAATCAGAGTAAGAAAATGACAAGAGGGTGCCCTGGATACAAACTTGTGGTCAGATCCGTATTTACCATTGTTATTTCATTTCCCACCGAGTTGGACAATATTTGCTACTGATATTAGAAACCAAATATTCAAAATACACATTTAATTGACTGCCCACTTCTCAGTTAATGCCAGCAAAGCCACAAGTAAGGTTTTATTACTCTATTCTATTAAGAGATGTGATATGAAGAGCTAAATAATTTCGTCTTAAATTTAATAACTTTTGCACAAACAAGAAATTTACTTGTGTTACTAAAAGTTTATTATCTTGTATAAGAAACCAGAACAAGTTGTTACCAGGAATTCAAAACAACATTAACAAAATTTGGTATAGAGGTAGCGAACAATTTTCAAATGGGAAACATAAGTGTACGGTAGTTGATATAGCAGTTGATAAATTTTAGTTTAAAATTTTAGTTTTGGTCGCAAATTAAATATCTGACAATTCGGGAAAAAATTGCATGTTATGGGTGGTAGCGCCTCGCATGATCCACCACTAGATTAATATTATTACCGATTACTTATTAATGTTCAAGATATTACAGAAATTATGAGATAGTCGAAATTGTTGGAGGGCGAAAAATTCGTCTTTATGTAGATGGTACATACATATCGTCGTACTAATTCTGAAATGACATGAGTGCACTCGATGCTTAATTCCGAAATGACATAAGTGCAGTCGATGCTTAATTCCGAAATGACATATGTGCACAAGAATAACATGTAAATAGTCTGCACATATGTCATTTCGGAATTAAGCATCGACTGCTATTATGTTATTTCAGAATTAGTACGACGATATATAAATATGTTTATATTAAATATTACCGAGATTGGAAATTCTAATTTAGATATGTATATATGCAATTGAGAAGTGCTTTTTGTCTTTCAACGATTTGATCAATAATAAATTGATTGTTTTAATACATGTCGTAATTTATTACTTTTTAGTTGGCAATGGGAATTATGGCGACTTTTCTGCTAATGTCCACACTTCTATACTCACCCGCTTGGAGTGAGGAATTGGAATGGAAGTGGGATTCTAATGTAATATATACAGAGGTTAACGAAAGTGAGGAGGTCAAAATGTGCGACCATGGACAGACGCTGTGCTTCAGGAGTACTTTTGGTATGCTTTTGTTTTACAATTACATAAATAAATCAGCATCGTCTTTCCTTGGTGAAAAACACATAAAAGAGTTAAACAAGATGTAAGTGACGAAGAAAGTAAAGTGATTGCAGTTTTGCTTCACCGCAAGGCCACAGAGCTAATACTTTTTTTACACATATTTGAAAAATCTCTTCAGAATGAATATGTATTGGGATAAGCCAAATTCGTCAAAATTGTATGCAATGTCATTAGACATACTTTAAATATGTACAAGGGTTTCGAAATGTATCTGACTGATTTTTGTAAGTTAATTTCTGTAAAACTCTTATCCTTGCGTTATGCAGAGATTGAGAGTTTTTAGGAGATAAACAGTGATTTCTAGCATTTTGGGGATATTCACTTTATATATTTACATATGAAAATCACGTTCTTCTGTCAAGAAAGTCAAGAAGGACGATGATAAATTGGCAACCCTACATACATATCAAGAAAAAAAATATTAATGAGAACGGAGTAATTTATTTGATTAATTTTAGGTGAATGCTTCAATGACACTTCGCGTTGCGACGGCTACTTTGACTGTCTTGACGAATCGGACGAATCGTTGTGGTTGTGCAGCCAAGAACCTGATACACGTTGTGACGGGGACGCCATGAAGTGTGGGTTATCGAAAATCTGTCGCCCATTGAATTCCCGGTGTGACATGGTGAAGGATTGCCCCGGCGGAGAGGACGAGTTCGACTGCCCAACCTCCAAAAGTCCTCCAGTTATTGGCAATTGTGACTACGGGCAGTTCTTTTGCGACGGTCTTTGCAAGCCAGCGTTTCGACTTTGCGATAAGCTAAAGGACTGCTGGGATGGAAGGGATGAATCAAACTGTACGAATCATCTTCTACCCATGCGCCAGGTAATTTATTATTAATTTTATACACTCAGGCACCATGAAGTTTACCACCTCCCATTGACATTGGGTTGATATATGTAAATAAAAACAAGTAGGTGGCTTGGGGAGAGGTGGGGAAACAATAAAAAATACTTATAAGCATATAAGAATACACAAAATAAAGTAGTTCCAATTTTTCGCAATGAAATCGGCCATTCGTAACAGAAGATATCTCAAGGAACTCTAAATATCAGAAAAATAAATATCTTAAGGGTGCATTTGATTGTACATTACCACATATTGTAAGGGGGAATTATATCTTATTTGCCAGCATAAACTTAGTAGATTTAGTTTATTTACAAATTAGTGAGTAACATATGTATATTGATCATATTTATAAATCAATTTCAGGTGTCGACAATAGAAGTTATACTGGATGATATGGATTATGAGGTCATTCAATTGCGTTGGTGGATAGATATGACCGAGCCACTGGCATATTTTAAACCCAGCCTTTGTGACAAAGCCTCCAACTCCTGTTTGAACACAACAATTTGGACGAACCAGACGCACTACGAAATGAGGAATGGAAAAGACGGCATAGAAATATTTCCTTTCTGGAGGTACTATGTGAAAATCTTTGTCAAGATTGGAAAGCAGGAATACCCACCCGGCGTTTACAACTACTTCAAAACAACTCAATCAGGTATGCAGCTTAGCATTATTAAATGTCCATTATATTAAAACATGCGAACATTATTGCAAAGTGGAAAGGGTAACATTGAACAAATTTCATACTGCACATAAATTGCATATCTAATTATTTACAGCATCGGGTCTAAATACCATTACGACTAGGTAGTAAATATGCAAAGTGTAATTGCTAACTAGGGATACTCACGAAGTGTCGGTCGAATCCAGGTTTCTCACCTCCACCGTGTATAGGTCAGCGTACCTCATAATGTACTCATCGTATATATTAACACCGTACTATATGTGTATCTACATAATACTACAACGCATATATACACGTATAAGGATAGTAGTAAATTACAATAATTGTTATCGTTTAGTTATTGACGTAGAGTCTATCATTTAGTGGGAGTAGCTGGAGCCAATGGGGCCATGGAGTCAAACTACATAAAGAGGGTTCGTGAATGCAATGTTTATAAAGGCATAGGCTTACAGCTACGGCAGATGACCTGAGAAAATGCATCTTGAGATTTTTTGGGTTGCGTTTTTTACTGTGGGGGTGATGGCGTCGCCTGATGACCAGTAAGGGCGTTCTAAATTGTGGAAAAGAGCCATTAGAATTTTTCATTTTTCTTAAAGCTGAATATAATTTTAAAACGCTGAGTTTTTGTTTTTGTGGGAGATTCGATTAATTTTGCTAACTGTGTTTGAAATCTTACAGAACCTGGTGTGCCACTCCGAGTGCAAGTTTCTCAGATACGTTATAATCGCGTAAATGTATCCTGGGCACGACCAGCCTACGCAAACGGATATTCTAAAGAGTTCCAAGTTTACAGCGATCCATTAATTTGGAACGATTTCGTGTGGGGTGGTGATTATTTTGAAACATGGCGTGAATTGGGTAGATATTGAGATCCCTGCAGATTTTACAAACATAACCTTCTGGGTAAGTAATCCATAGAAAAATCCTATGTTGATATGGAAAGGGAAAAAAACTTTATTATAAAGCATTGACTTTGATCAGTTGCACAAATTTAAAAGATGGGTTATGTAAAACTCGAGGTAGACACTATGGAAAGTTACCTACTGTACGAAAAGCAACTTCTCACCCTGTAATTCTGAAAAAGAATCAAACTTTCAGGCGGATATTATGGTAGATTTTTTTAATTAGACCCTTCTTTCTAAATACACATAAAACTCAAATTAAATTACTATCGTTCGGTGAGTTTTTGAAGGATTTCAGAATTTTAAACGGTTTTGGAAACTTTGAATGAATGGGAAAGTTTAAAAAATCAAAATTTTATAGATATAACCACACCTGGTAGAAATTTAGTTCACAAAATCTGAAAACAACTAAAAAAAGAGTCTAATTAAAAAATCCATCATAGCTCGAAGGAAGTTGTAGTTGAAGCCTGCGTAACTGATATTTTTATTCCTGCCTTGGTCCTATTAGGTAAAAACAAGGATATTTAACCCCTTTGGGAAGGATTTAAGCAAGGCGTCTCGCAATGCGACTTATATTATGGTTCGGGTGTGAAAGTTTATGGTTGAGCCACGTTCGGATGGTAAATTGGGTACAATTGTTGCCAAATTTTTCTCGATGTACACAAGTATTGATGTACGGCTTTCAACCAACCCATAGATATATCTGATCGCCAAATTTCGATTAGTTGGACTACCTTTGGACTATGCGCGAACCTTCAGCGGATACAAATATTCTTAAACGAATATCAACATGTGTTGGATAAAAGTTTCTATATAGAATCATTGTCAGGTAAATAAATCAGTAATTGGATAATTATATTTTGAGAGCTTTACCACTTATCATGAAATATCTGTACTTAATTCGTCTACAAAATACGGCAAAAATTGTTAAAATGTACTGAATAATTTTTAAGATATGTAGCCAACCACGCCCTGAAAGTTTGAATGTGCATTTTCGTTCGTACGTATAGGATGCAGAGTGTGTGTAAAGTCATACGAATGTACCACGCGTGGCATATAATTTAGGATGGAAGAAGTGTTGACACACTTTAGAAGCAAAGAGGAACCAATGCACAACTTTAATAAATATTTTTTATGTAGGTAGGTAGGTAGGTATTTATTAATCTCGATTGATGTGGCCACGGCCTTTACAGTCATATAAAATCATTTTAATATTTACTAATGATTATATTAATAATAAAGTAAGTTATATATAAATGTATACTTATGATAATTTAAACTAAATGTCCCATAATTACACTATATTTTGATGGATCTCTCGTATTTCGTTGGCTTGTTTTAAGTAATGACTAATATATTGTAACTTTGTCTCATTTAAATCTGATACAAAAGTTACAAAATCTTTCTTGTTTGTTGGGACGGATTGAGCGAGCTTATTACTAAGAATTTTACGGATTAGAATCTAATCATTAGATTATAATTTGGGCAAATACACATAAAGTGATACATATCTTCTATCGCAGATTTACATAAATTGCATATTGTGTTGGCTTCATTTTTGTAAATAACATTAATTCCGTTAAGTATAACTGTTTTGTTTTTTATCGAAAATCTAGGATACATAGTTCGCAATTACATTCCCAATTTGACTAAATTCCAGTTCATATTTTCATTTAGAAATCCTTCAACTTTAACATGTGATTTGATATATTTGAAATGAGATAGTGAGTTTGAGGATTGCATTCTAATTACATCCTCCTCCACAATTTTATTACGAATCATTTCAACTATTTTGTTAATATTAAACTTTAAAGTGCTAATCGCTTCTGCATTTACATTTATTGGGTCAAAGATAAATAGACCATCACATTCGTATTTTTTAAGAAAATCGTTTAAATCTCGATACCAATTATATTTCATTTTACGCTTTGTATATGTACTAGTTTTAATTAAATTATGGAGAACTTGTCGCATAGCACTATTTTCTGAACGTCGAAGTATTTTCAGTACAAAATTCATTGCATTTTTAATTACGCATAATTGTATTGGGTAACAATTTGTCTCAAGTCGTAAGAACCACAACGGCGTATGATTTGGCAGGTAAAATAACTTCCTGAGAAATTTAGCTTGGAACATTATCAATTTATCTAAAGTGCCCAAACCCCATATATGAGAACAATATAGAAGAACAGATTTGGTTAGTGAGTCAAAAAGTTTTAATCTGGTATCAAGTGTTGTAATATTTGCCTTAAAAAACCAAAAACCCAAAAAGCTGATTTTCAGCTTGTTTGGCTTTTAAGAGAAAGTAGTCACAAATTTGTCCATAATTCATATTGCTCTTAAATTCTACTCCTAAATACTTATATGATTCTGCACGCTCAATCTTATCGTCACCCCAAAATAGTAATGGTTCAAGTTTCTTTGCCTTACCATTACGAAAAATCATGTAATTAGTCTTTGTTAAATTGATTTGCATGTCATTCCCAATTAAATAATCTCTCGAAATATTTATTTTTTGTTGCAAATCAATTGCGTTGAAAGTAAAATAATATCATCTGCATAGCATAACAAGTGAATTTCAGTTGTTCCGATATTTATTGTGCAAATTTCCTGACTGTTATGCATTATTTCAAACAGGTCATTTGTATGTAACGTGTAGAGTTTTGGACTCAAAGTTTCGCCTTGAAGTACAGCTCTTTTGAAGGGAAAGAATTTGCTTTCTCCATCACAGGTTCGTACTTTAGCCTTTGCTTTCGAATAAATGTCTTTAATAGTGTTTAGCATTTTGTCACTCATACCCGCCAATTTTAGCTTGTCCCACAATTGTCCATGACTGATTCGGTCAAAGGCTGCGCTTAGGTCAACGAGTAAAGCATATAACTTTCCCCGATTATTTCTTATAGAATGTTGTAAAATTGAATTTAGCATAAAAATGTGATCCTCACAGCCCATTCCTTTTCTATATGCTGCTTGAAATTCCGAAATTTTATTATTATTGTCACACCAAATATTTAGTCTGTTAGTTAAAAGCATTGTATAGAGTTTGAGTCCGGTATTTACTAGAGAGATAGGTCTGTAGTTTTTTGGATCAGACTTCTCACCCTTTTTATATATTGGTGCAATTGTGATTTCTGCCCAACCTGCTGGGATAAGTTGTCCGTTCCACGTCAAGTTTATGCTATCAAGTAATATTAATCTTTGCATGTCATTTAGTCCTTTCCATGCCTCGTTTGGTATACCGTTTGGGCCAGGTGCTTTCCCCGTACTTAACTTTTTAATTACAACATTTAGCTCGTCAAGAGTAAAGTCAGCGTCCAGGTCATTATTAAAAATATTTGTTTCTTTTGAATCCACTCCTCTCTGTTCAATCGAGTCAAAAACTTTAGAGAAATATTCATAAAATTGTTCTGGCGTAACTTCTGTATCACTGTTACAAGTACGTGTTGACCTGTAATAGTTCAGGGCCTTCCAGAAATCTGACGAGTTTTTAGCATTGCAAAGTGCATTCTGAATCGAACTAAAAAATTTAAGTTTCTTTGCTTTCTTTAGATTCTCGTACGATCTCTTAGTCTGTAGAAAAATTGTTTTAGATTCTAGTCTTTCAGAGTCAGATTTGGCATTACGAAATTTACGTAAGCTGGAATTAAAAAGTTTCTTTCCATTTAAGCACTTTTGGTCAAACCACCGTGGCCCAAATGTAATATTCTTACGTCCTAAGTTACGTTGTTTAAGCATATTTCCACTATCAATTCCTTGTAGCATGCACTGTTGAAATGTGTCAATTTTTATTTGGGTTAGGTCATGAGATTTTAGGAAATTGTCCAGGTCTTGTTGGTATTTGTTAGTTTTATTTTTGTCCCATTCAACCCTGAGAACTTTTGTGAGTTTTTCATGAAATGGTTTTGCATTTAGAGTCAACATAATAGGGAAATGATAAGATTGATCGCTCGTCAAGACTTTGAATTCCTTCCTCTCTTCAATCAAGGATGAAATGAGACACAAATCTACAACACTTGAACCATTCTTATTTACAAAAGTAAACTCCCCTCCTATATCATGCTCATTATTACCATTTAGTACGCAGAGGTTATTTCCTTCTATAATATCAATCAACTTGGTTCCACGACTATTGACGAATGTGTCCTTGGAGTGTCTCGAAATATGCATATCATTGTGCTCGAATGTGTGATTACCTATCCTTGAATTGAAATCTCCCATATAAATGCAAGAATTTTGTACTGGATCTACTGCCTGAATAATTTCCTCAATGTCTACATTACTGTTTGGAGGTAAATAACTAAATATAATAAATAATTTCCTAAAATTATCGTTTATTTCTATAATGCTATACTCGTTTGTCCATACTATTACTTTGGTAAAACTAGCTCTATTGTTTCTTATCCCAATATAATAACCCATTGACCCCCTTCCTTTGGCTTTTGTTTTTATGGCTTTTGTATCAAAAATTGTGTATTTATCTGTTATTTTACTATGCAATATGTATTCGTTGTCATGCCATGTTTCACAAAGGAAGAAGATCATTGGGTCAAATTCGACTAATTCATTATAAAATAAGATATTTTTTGATTTTATACCCTCTATGTTCCACGAAAGTATCCTAAAATTAATGATTCTTGATTGTTGTAAAGATTGTAGGGGCCGGCCGTATCGTCAGGTCATTGTATCGTCATTTTCCACGACTTGGTTTGCTTCGTTGACTGTGTACCATTTTGTAGTTCCTCCCACCGTAATCTTGAGAGATTTTTTCGTTATCCGAAATAACAGGTCCGGTTTGTCCTTTTTCATATCTCTGGCAAATTTTCGCAGATGAAACTTTGTCTCTATTTCCTCTGTGGTCATATCTTCATCGATAAAGATGTTGGAACTATGTAGCTTGGTCCTCAGAGATAGGAGTTGCAAGGCGTCGCGTTGTCTCACTAGTTTTAGCAGCAAGGGTCGAGGTCTGGTAGCTTCTTCACTGAAAATTCTCATTCGGAAACAGTGGTCATAATCAATGTGTGGCAGTCCCAGTTTCTTAGCTAGCTCTGTTATGTGATTATCACGATCTGACCACTTTTTACCATTTTTCTCTACCAGACCGTTAATCACAACATTTTTCCGTCGGTCCGCGTTTTGCAACTTGTCAACTTTTGTTGTTAACTGTTTTAAATTGTCACTTAGAGGGACAGTTATTGTTTCCAGGTTGTGAAGTCGACTAAGAACTTTTGTCTCACTGTCGGTAACGACTTTCAAGATGTAAGCTTTAAGGTCATCGTCACCCATTTTTGCATTTTTATCACTAAGCTCTGGTGATTTTACTGAGTGAGTTTTAGACTTTTTTACGGTTTGTGGTTGTGGTGAGGGAGTAGATTCAATGGAGGAGTTTAAACGCGTATGAGATCTGGACCTTTTGCTATTTGAAGATGTCCGTGTTTGGGGAAAATTGTCACTTTTTCGCATTTGGACAGAACTAAAAATTTTTGTCGTGACTCGATTTTACAGAGGAGTTATTCATTCAAGTTTGAATGAGTTTAGTTATCTCGATTTTACAGACGAGATATCTCGATTTTACAGACGAGATTAGCTGGTCAAGAGAATGAATGAGACCCGAAGAGAGTTAATGTTCTCTCCAGGAGAGCTAAACTGGGACTTCAATATTTTTTATGTATGTGTTCCTAAACAGTTGAAACTGAAGGCAACTATGAGTTCATAATGTCTGATTTAACTCCTGGGACTTCTTACAACATTACCGTTACCTTCATCACGAACGGAATTTCAGCGAGGCCGCACACTCATACGGTTGTAACTACTGGTATGTTTTTTTTCATAGTTACCCTAACTATTTACAATGCAAAGTTGTTGGCGTGTATACTCAGATTTCGACACGACAAACTTTATCGGCAACAATTTTTAAAGGTTAATGTTTCCCACTTTCAGGAAAAAGAGCTGCTCCTGTGACTGGAATAACGGTGAACTTAACGGGACCAACCTCCGTTAAAATCGAATGGGAATATCAAAAAAACAAGAGTGATTTCAAAGTGCTGTTTTGGAAATATATCAAAGATCAGGAAGTTCCGGTCGGTGAGTAAAACGATTTAACCTTTTAGAGAAAAGAGCCATCACGCAGGGATGGGTAATATGCAGTATTCTAAAATTTGTTATTAAGTGGTTTTGGTCTAACCATTTGTTTGGGAAAGTGAGATCGCATTTTAAAATTAGAATTTGTTTCCCAATTAACTTTAAATGCAACCTTGGGCAATTGAGGCGTATTTTACTTTCAAGTATTTTGTCCATTCTTCTCCTTGTATACAACGAGCTCGGATAATCTTTGGGCTCCTGGAGTTTTTTTTTCGGACATTTGAAAATACTTCATAATCCATTAGGTGGTTCTTGAAATATATTAAAATGTACGAAAAACTTTAGTCGCATTAAGACTCCGTGCTCACTGTTTGTTGTTGAATATCAGAGAAACCTGCCACTGGTTTATGGTACGAGCTGGCTGACCTGGAGTCCTGCACAGAATATTATGTGGACGTGTACCAATACGATGCACACACCGGGCAACGAGGCGACCCATAAGGTAACCCCATTTCCATTGTTACCGGAGCTAATCCCTCCGAACCTCCGAAATAAGCGTGAATAGAGATCCTTCCGAGCAAATGAGATATTTACTGAATTGGGACGCCCCGTGTGTGATTGATAAAGGACCTCTGGATTACTTAGTGAGTAGTAATAAATTACGGTGGAATCATTGACATTCTTCCAGGATATGTAATTTCGGAGATGATTTCATTATATTGCTGACAAATAAATTTCGTTTGAAACAATAGGTATCGTATCGTGAAACGGGGAAAGAAGAAGTCCAACCCTGGATTAATATTTCGGTTACTGGCGGGAATAAACGCGACCTGTTTACTCATCTACGTAGTGAGTATGGCGCTGCCTACGAGTAATTTTTTATTTTTTATCATATTGTATTATGCCTAACCTTATAAAGAAACTGTTTGTACCTTGACGTTTTCCTTGGCAGGGTAAAAATTAAAACCTCGAATGAAGAAGCTATCTACTCGGACGTAATTGAGTATCATGGTGGAGAGATTCCTGTTGCTGATAATATTGAGCAACTGGGAAATACGAAGACCTCGGTTGTGATTGGATTTTCTTTTACGAAATTACCACCTCAAGTTTTGCGATGGGGAAGGTAAGTACGTGCATACAAGGGATACTATCGGTGTGTAAAACGATTTAAGGGTCGACAACAATACCAAAATATGTACATGGTGTGACTCCTGCTGTGAAGTGAAGGAATTCCCGTGGTTTAACTTCACCGGAGAGATAATTGTTTGTGCACATGTTGGAATTGGTGTCGACCCTTAACTCGTTTGACACCTAGTCGGTAGTTTCCCTTGTTAGAAAAACACATGTTGTCCATATTTAACGGTTATGTATTCCATTTGTTTGACTTACACGTGTACTTTAAAATAGGTTACAATACTACGTGCTGTTGTCGGAGAGTATGTCATACGACGAGGCTCAAAAATTGAAACTTTCTGCCAATGTGACGGTATTATTTCCCCAAGTCCAGATTCAAGAAAGGAAGGACATATTTTACCGCCCTGGCTCTGACGGATGGAGCCGGCTATAAATCACCAACGTCAGATTGGATTCGCTTAAACACAACAACATTGTTTGAGATGTGAATGCATACGATAATGGTAGATAAGTTTAAAATGTTCACTATTCCGAGCATAAAGCGATGAGCGTTAATTGTCATGGTTTTAATCACATTTTTTACTTGGTAGTAGTGAGACGCGTCTGATATGAGCTGTTGTCTCTGTTCCATTTGGCAATTAGGATTAAAAGTGGGCGATTTTACTTCTTTGTTAAATTGTTTGTGATCCAAACGAATTTGATTAAACTGAAATATTGTTAATTTGAAAAGGAATAGTGGAATTGTAATTCCTTCTAATGTATTTAATTATTCTTGTATTAAGTGGTTGCTCAAGTTTAGGGCCAAGTTTGTAACTTTATAAAATATAATACTTTATAAATTTTAATTTATAGGACAATTTAAGCGTGAATTTACAAGAACAAAACCTTCAAAGCGGGGCCATATTGTGGCTCTAATAAATATGTAATTCATCGGTACATTGTTGTATGATTGGCAAGAGAGCGACGGTTTTTAGAGAAGCAGCAAACACTTGACTTTTAGACATCTTTCTGTCCGTAGAAATGTGTTGCACAAGCGACTTTATATTTGTAAAATGTCTGACTGTTAAAACAAGTTCTAGTATTTAGAATTGCTATGCAAACAAAAATTTGAACTGCTATACGTCGTCATTTGAATTAAGTTAAATATTAATTTTAAACGTGGTTCAAGGGTGGAACACTTTGGCTTAAACAAACTTGAAAATGTAGTAAATTTGTAGTAAACAATTGGAATTATGATATAAGCTATGTATGTAGCATGTGCCTAAATCTATTGTGTACTCATTTCAAATATATTTCTTAACTTTCATGACCGTAATAAGATTATCTGCATCCTCTCAAAAATGTATTTTTGCTTGGACTTTATGTACCTAGAGCATTAAAGCAGATATAACTATGGGTCGATCTTTCTAAAAATCTTAGTTTTACTAAAGCTACTGAAAAATATATTTGCTTATAGAGCTTAATACGGTATACAGTATATAGGCACATGTTGTCTCAAAAACCCCGACTATCTCAATAGCCCAAGGTATCGGATGTGAATCCCCCGGGGTTTTCCCTACGCTGCTCTCTTTACTACCTTACCCGAACTAATCAGCAGCAGATTTAGAGTTTGATTCAGACAGAAGTCCTGAATTACTAGTGGGGTCCCATTATCGATAAAGTTAGAGCCGAATTTGATCTTTAGTACGCCACAGGCCTTTACCTCTCGCGCCAAGAGGGACCTCTTCCCGCCAAATTGGGTTGTATTTCGGACCTGCAGGTGAAGCGTTTTGGTCGACGTGGAATTGACCCAGGAAGCCAAGGTGAATACGCAAACGTTGAATATCCCGGTGTCGAGCAGAATGAGGGGAAAGATGAGAAATCCGGGCATTGGGATGTCCCCATGCAGTTTGACGCACACGTATTGACAGATGATTTGCAGCATGGGTGTGCAGCATATCATGGTTGGCACTATGCGCACAGTGAGGAATCCATTCAAAAATTTTTCCAAGATTTGAATACACCGGTAGAATTTTATGCAGGCTAGGTGTTCCGAAATGGTTTGAGATTTTCCAATTCGCCTGCAATAGAAATGAAAGGGTGATTGAATTATTTGTTAGTGGTGGTCACCTCATTTGCATATTTGGATGCTTGTGCGACAGACAGAATTTAGAGATTCGACATGTGATGCAGATAATGCGAGCAATCGAATTTATGCAAATGAGGTGAGCAACCATATTAATACCTGATACACTTTAGCTAATTAGGATGCCAATTGTTACATGCTAAAGTTAACTATTTCAATTTAGTGAGGATTGATATAAGATTGATTTAGGGTACATTTTTTCACCAACGGGTAAGTTTAAATCCACTTGTGAACCGAGCTGATGTGAGCTTACTATTTAAACCAGGCGCTACTGTGTTAAAAAGGTGTATTTATAACCTTTCCAAAAGCTGGAAGTAGTTGAGAATGGTGACAATTCCGACAGAGAGGATGTAAAAGATCCACGTCGTGCCGGAGCAGAACATATGGAGAGCCATCCACGCCTCGAACAAGATGAGGAGTACTTTCGGTCCAGAGATGTCCTTGCAGTTGTCCGACATTGAGAGGAGGAAGGGGGGCATGCATGGGTCGAAGGTGAGGAGAAGGGAGACGGCGGCAGGAACGGCGACCACCGTGAAGGATGACACGTACAGAAACATGGAGATGATTTTGACCTCAATGGACTTTTTGATACTGGACTTGTCTAAAATTAGAAATTTGTTAACTAGTCGAAAAAAAATTAGTGATGCTACGTAGACTTATTTAAAAACGGGCACCAAATATATCAAAACTAGAGAATTTACCCGTGTACAACACGGGTACACGATTATCTCTTGTTAAACATGCGTAAAATTTACTGTACACCCAGTGGACTTGTGGATTACGGCGTCCATATAAATATACGGCTTACAAAGTATGCGGTAAGCGGTAGTAACTATTGTATTGGCGGTTGGCGGTAGGAAGGGATACGTTGCAGACAGACAGACGGAGAATGGACTAATGTTATATAAAATAGAATAACATGGCTAATTATGTTAAGATCGAATTTACTTAACCAACCTGCAAGAAACTCATTTTCAAACGTTATAATGGAATTGATCGTTTGTATCGGAGCAATATTTAGCCCCACATTCCATCCGCCAGAGAGCAAGATTGTGTAACAGATGAGAAATGGAATGGCTTGTAGGCGTTTAAGAAAGGGGCCCAGGAAAAAGTGACCCAGCAAGATGAGAAAGTACGCCAAGGCCACAACGGATTGGATTTGGGAGAGGCGGACTCTCCTCTGGGATTTACAAAGGCAAAGTTTTCCTTCGTTTGCGTCCCATTCGAAAGGAAGGAATCGTCCTAGCCGGGCAAATTTGAAGTGGCGAATTAATAAGGGCAAAAATTGGGTGGAATACATGACGAGAGAGAATCGTATAGTTTGCCCGGTCTGCAACCTGGTAATGAAGGTGGGTTAAAGTTATAGGTTATAGTATAACGTATCTAGTTTAATTAGGTTGTTTTACTATCTTTCGAGTCACAACATAAGCAATATAGGTATATGTAGTAAGTAGCAGATATTTTCTATTTTAGTAGAACACGATTGTTTTGCCTTGTAGAATTCCTTTTTGTAGGATTATTCTGTGAGGGGCTTTTCATAAATTATGTAACGCGAGTTATGTATTACATAGGTAACAATATCAGAGAGGGGGGGATAGGAGTTTTGCATATTATCTTTAATTTAATTGTATATTTATACTAAAAATTTTAAAAATTCAAATAAATGCGCAGTGGGAAATGGAATTCTCTAACTATTTTGTCTCTTATCATTTTTGCCTCACACATCGTTTAGGAGTGTGAGCTCTGTGACTTTCAGGGTACCCGTTGGATCCTCATATCTTTAGGGTACGCCGGGCACTACACTTTCCGAAAAAAGTGACACTGGATTACCCTGGCCACATACCAGAACCGAGTAAAAAAATAAAAGCTGTAAAATATTCATTCATAAAGTGTTCCTCAGTCGTCACGACCACGATTCCGTCTGTCCGATTTTTGGACAATTTGCAAATCTGGAGTTTTAGTCAGAATCCATCATAGTGGAGTATAAATCTAAGACGGATTCATGAGGAGCACTAGCGATGTATACACTGACGACGTGCGTGATTTCTTCATTAAAGTATACACTTCACATCATTATCTTTCATGTTTGACCACGAATGATTGTAATTGTCCCATATGTGTATTCGGGCAAGCCCGTGTTAATCAGTTAATAAATCTGTTATGTTTAAAGTCAATTAATGCCACGCGCCGATAAAATATTCACACATGGTAAAGATTACATTTAGTTAAAATTACTGGTAAATCTGTATCAACGCTTTGATTCACACGTAGGCGTCAATAAATGTCGAAATGGGTTATAAAAGGAAGGTGTAGGCAAGCATTGATTTGAACATATGCAAATGATAACTTATATGTAAATATATCGGAAGAATAGTTGTCTGGTTGAAATTACTTCGTAAAGTTGGTGAAAGTTACACAAATTTGGCATATAAATTAAACTTGGTTATTTATTTAGTTATTTTAGTTAGTTACTTATCTATGTAACCACGTTTGGACGGTGTACGTCAAAACTTGTGAAAATATGTACCCGTCTTTCCTAAGGTTCCTTTACACCCAATCTAATCCTCGCGTGTGTGCCACCAACTTTTGCAATGATAGGTTTAAAAAACGGCAGTGACGTAAACTTGACACTTACGTACGTAATGTTAAGAACTCGTGTACACATTACATTACATATTATGTATGCATGCATGTAATGAATGTAATACATGGGTTTCGTACTTTTTGTGGACCAAGCAGGCAAAACATTATTTGCATTAGCGAGATGCTTCTGCTTTAATTCATAATCCGAACTACATATGTACATAAGCGAGATCCCAGATTCAGTAAACTTATATATGCAGGTAAATAAATCTGATACTTATGTATGCCTTCCTGATACTTTAATTAGATATGTCTTTTCTTCTCTGCAATATGCCATATAAATGCTGTATGACTGTCACATTTAGATTGCGTCATGTGAAATATAGGCTGCGAAAAAGTAATTCCTTCACACTGCACATAAAATTAACACAATTTGTAGAGTCATATGCGTTACGATTTTGGTAATGAAGTTATACATAAGTAGAGATAGCATGACTAAATTCGGATTAAGGAATTATGGATCCGTTTCCGGCTTGTCAGGCGCAGTCTCCGTACCCCCACCCTCTACCTGCCACCCCCCACCACCCACGGGCAACCCCCCACGCCCCACGCCCCACTTCCGACCCACGACGAACGACCCACTACCCACCACGAACGATTTCTCTCTCTTACCCACCACCCACGACAAACCACCTTCTGCTATCCGGGTAGGAGCAACAGGTAGAATTAACTTTTTTCTGTGCACACAATCTATGGTTGTTACTCTGCCTGATAATGATTAATAAATCACGTAATAAGCAATGTGGGTGGTCCATCCAAAGTTTGAATGTGGTGAGACCACTAAATCTCATGAAACTTACAAACATTTTAGTTTTAAGGCAATCAAACGATTAGCTTGTAAATTGGTAAATGTATAAAAGTTTAAATATCAATGAATATTATCTAATCTGTATAAAAATTAGAACACTTTGTAAAATAGTTGTATAAAACATACTTTTTTAATAATTTAGCCTGAATCCATATAAACTCATGGAACTTACACAAATTTTTGCAAAGAGTTAAAAGGATTTGCATCGAAATTTCAAATGCATGGAAGTACAAATATGAGTGCATCTAATTTAGTCTGTATGAGGACTAGAATATTTTGCACTAATTTTTTAAAAATCATACGATTTACCATTATGTGGGGTAAAGTGAATCCAGCGAATCTCATGTAATTTACACACAAGAATTTTACGCACAAGTTCTAAGTTTCTTATGTGTTTAAATAATTGGGCGTAAAACCTCCTAATTTAGAAACTTCAACACATTACGCACACTT